TGGGAATCTAGGCTAACAGCCCCTAACATGAGTTAATATGTGTGAATATGTCTGATTCTGGATAGATATTTAATAAATGTTGTTGTTGTTATGTGGTACTGACTCACAGCTGACCCTCAGGATTAGTTTTCAGAGGTTGTAAATACACAGGAGGAAATTGCTCATTCTTTTCTCCAAGGAGCAATTGGTGTAGTCAAACTGCCTGTCTTTGTGTTGGCAGTGTAACTCCTTACCCACTAGGCCACTAATGTTGTTGTTATGTGCTGTTGAGTCACTTGTAACCCATAGTGACCCTATGTACAGAAGCTCTGAAGCCTGCCCTGTCCTGAGACATCTCACCAGTTCTGACAAACCAACCCCATTGCCCCAGTTATGGTATCAATCCATCTCATCCAGGGTCTTCCTCTCCTGTACTGTCCCTCCACTCTTCCAAGCATGATGTCCTTCTCCAAGGACTGGTCTTTCTGGGCCTCATGTCCAAAGTATGTGAAATGGAGCTTCAAAACCCTAGCCTTCAAAGTGAAACTTCATTTCATCCTCTGCAGGACAGAACTATTTGTTTTCTTGGCAGTCCATGGTATGTTCAAGACTCTTATCCAGCACCACAGTTTGAATGCATTGATTCTTCTTTCGTCATCCTTAGTCATTGTCCAGCTCTCTGATGCACAGCAAGTAATTGTGAAGATAATGACCTGGATTAGGCACACCTTAGTCTCTAGACTGACATCGTTGCTTTTCAGCACTCTGGAGAGGTCCCTGATAGTAGATTTATTTCCCTAATGCAATTCCTCTTTTGATTTCCTGACTGCTGGTGTTACGAGTGTTGATTGTGGACCCGAGCAAGTTGTAATTTTTTTTCTTAATTAAATTCTATTAATTTTAATGAACATTTACAGAGATTTTGGGTTTCCATTCATTCATTGTTGCACTATTTTCTCTACCCTCCCACCCCAGTTCGTTCCTCTTTTTTTCCCCCCCTTGAAAGTCTGTTTTAATTGTCCAATTGCCACAGTGACAAGCTGTAATTTTTAAGAATTTCAGTCTCTTCCCCATCTATCATGGTGCTGCCAATTGGTCCAGTGGTGAGAATCTTTCTTTTCTTGATGTTGAGCTTTAATCCTTATTGAAAACTACAGTCCTTGACCTTTTGCAGCACGCGCTTCAGGTCCTCCTCAGTTTCAGCAAGCGAGGTTGTGCCATCTGCATAACACAAGCTGTTCATGAATCTTTCTCCAATCCTGATGTCATATTCCTCCTCCTAAAGCCCAGCCTCCCAAATGACCTGTTATGTAGATAGATTGAAAAGCTATGGAGGTAGGATGTACCCCTGATGCACTCCTTTCATGATTTTGAACCATCACAAAGCAGATGTAATGAGCATCAATTAGACGCTGATAACAATAATAGCCTCTACATATTAACATTTATTATGTGCTAGGCAGGAGCACAGGTGGCATAGTACATGATGTGTTTGACTGCTAACCCACAGGTTGGTGGTTCAAGTCCACCAGTGGTTCTGTGGGAGAAACATGAAATCTTTTCCCACAAAGATTTAATGTGTTGGAATCCCAATGAGGGTCACTATGAGTCTAAATCGACTGGATAGCAGTGGCTCTGGTGTTTGGTTTATGTGCTGGACACTGTGCTGAGTCTTTATACACATTCTCCCGTCTAGTATTTGAAATGTGCCTGGGAAATAGTTATTGAGCACTCCACGCTAGCATGATTAAGTGACTTGCTCAAGGTCATTATAGCAATTAACATGAAACAGAGTCACGAGACTTTTCTGACAGTCTTGTGCCCAAGGCCTGTCTGCTCCAGGAAAGGCTGACAGCTTCCCGGATTGCTTTGATCTTTAAGCCACTTCAGTAGCTTAACAGGAAGAGAGAGAAGGAAGGAAGCTAAGACCGAGGGGCAAGGAACATCTCAAAGTCTCTCCAAAGTCCTTCTCTTCCACACTTTTTTCCGGTAGGATGGGAGAAGGAAACAGTAGAGGCCTGAAGCTCCTCCTCCCTGCCCCTCTCTTTCTGTCTTGATAATGTGAGGCATGTTGTTGTTGTTGTTGTTGTTAAGTGCCATCGAGTAGCAGGCGACTCATAGCAACCCTATGAAGAAAAGTCCTGAACACCTCCTGTATATAACTTTCGTCCTTTCTCCAGGTCCATTGGGTTTCCAGAGGCAAGCTATTGTTGAAGTGGATGCCACTTCTGCTTCCTAGCTTGTTTTAATCGGGGAGTATAGTAGAGATTTACTGTGACTACTAGAAAGCCATGCACCAGGAGCCCCAACCCCATTCTAAGCCCTGACTGCATCTTTTAGAAATGGCTGCGGTTCCTAATGAGGAGTTAAGCACTAGGGAAGAAGGAATCAGGTGGGCCCAGGGAACTCCAAGCATAGCTCTGCTTGGCCCATAAATCCCAATTGTTACCTTGGGGTTTTGACCCAAACAGGAGAGCTTATCTACTTCTTCCATACTCTCTTGACCTTCTATTCTACCCTTGACAACACACAAAGTGTTGTTGGGAGGTATTTCTGGACTGCCCTCACCCTCCAGCACATGCCACTAAGGAGACCATCACCAGTTTTCTCGTTTAGCAAAAGATTTATTGTGAATTCTTGTCAACCTTGTATGGGAGCTCAGGGTAACTAACCTCTGGGATGGAAATAGATCATGTCTTCATAAATGCTTACACCAGGAAGAACAGTTACTCTCACGGGAGGAGACTAACCATCCTTCTCCCACCGAACTATGTGACTTCGGGGTTGCCACTAGGCCACCATAGCTCCATACTAAATAGTTCACCCATTTTTCTGATCAGGATCTAGTGGCTCAAGGAGATAGTAGGCTTGCTCAAGACCATACAGTGCTGGTCAGACTGGAACTCAGTCCTACTTTCAAGGAGTTGTACTGCCAGGTGAAAGGCACACGGTTAGAATCTACCAGATGCTCCATGGGAGAAAGATAGGCAATCTTCTTTCACGTGATTCACTTCCTCTAAACACCCACTAGATGGTCAGCTCTGAGTTGGATCTGACTTGAAGGTACACTACAACAACAATGGGCTTTCTTGTCCCTACAAGGTCTGGATGGAAGAGAAGTTGCAGAAGGTTGGTACTATTTTAAGAAGCAGGAGGTTGCAGGGGTCCATGCCCTTGGGCCCACCTGTCGGCTGTTTGGAAGCATCTCAAACCACCTACTGCATCTCTCTTGCCTCACTTAATGTTGTGGTTTTTAGCTGCTGTCAAGTCAGTTCTAATTAATGATAACCTCACATGCAAACAGTAAAACTATTCCATTGGGTCTACCAGGCCATGATCTTTAGAAGATCACAAGACTGTTCTCCAGGCACCTCTGGGTGGGTCTGAGCTACTGACTTGTGTAATCATTTATTTACTCCACCCAGGAACTACTTGGGTAAGGACCAGCCATTTTCCAGTGGGGGCTTGGATCTGTAACCCAAGACTCAAAACCTTAAATTCATTGCCTTTGAGGTGGAACCAACTCGTAGCTGATCCTCCAGTATGTTTTCAGAGGCTGAAAATGGCATGGGAAGAAATTATTCATCTTTCTGCTAAAGAGGAGCTGGTGGATTTGAACCACCAGGGAGGCACGGCTTTTAGGTTAGCAGTGTAACGCTCAGTGGACTACGCCACGAGAGCTCCCTTTGGATTTGCGGTCCTAGAATTTTAATGGGCAGTGAGGTTTTCATCTAACCGACTATCACAGGCAGGGACACTCTCCTCGCCAGTACCCCTGCCAGCCAGCTAGTGAGGCAGGAGCAGTCAGGGACTGGGAACGCACCCCACCTCACTGAAGGAAACAGAACAAGGCTCCAGATCACTCATTTTAATCACAAAGTGCCCTGTGTCACTCCAGCCAACAGGATGCTGAAGCCAGCAGCCATTACACTCCACTCACTTGTCAACACTAGCAAAAATTTAACATCACAAAGATTTCTTTTAAAATATTATTTTCTGTAATAAGGTAAAATAAAATTAAGTCAGTAACTAAGGACCTAGCATTGGACCTCATTCCTTTCACGTCAATCTAGCCTGTTAATCATCATGTATGATTCTCCTCAGAGCTATTTTAAGGAACATTTAGAAAATGGCTTTTCTATCGGTATATTTACACCTTATTTATACCCTTCAGAAATGGTCTCTCTGTTTAGCAGCAGATGGGCTTCCTCCCACCCCTCCTATTTTGATTTTCATCTCTTTGTCAAAGTTAAGTAAGAAATAAGCCTATTCCCTTAACCCCAGGCATATAAACTGATGACCACAGCCTACCTTGGAGCCAGGGTTGCGGTGGGCAGTGGGGATGAGGGGCTCTTTGTAAGGTTCCGTTCTAAAGAATCTGTGCGGCAAATGCCTTCCCAGAAGCCAGACCCTGAAGGATATGAAACTGGGGCCGGGGGTGGGGGGGAGGACCTCAGGGTGCTGGGGGGGGTGAACTAGAATGTGGGTGTTCTGGTCTGCTTCTCTCAATAACACATGTATCTTAAGGCCCATGAATCATGTACCAATGGTATTCCATTAGCCTCCAGAGAACAGGAGCCAAAGCAGGACAAGTCACCCCAACATCGCCCAATCTGTATGTCCGGCCTGCATGAAGCAGCAAGTCTGAACTCTATGATTTCCATGGCAACCGCAGTACTGCAGCTCAGAAGGGCAGGGGGCAGAGAAGGAAGATGGAGGAGGCACATAGTGGCAATTCTAGTAAAGCTCATCTGTTGTCTTTCCTCCAGGAAACCAATTTGAACTAGAAGGAATGGAAATCTGGGCTATAAAAGAGAGAAAGGATGAGAAAGACCCCAATACACCCAAAAGCCACTTTCCTGACACGCCATGCTTCCCTTCTTTTGGGGAAAGGCTGGTCACGGACAAGGACAAAGTCTGTGGACCTTGGTGGCTTGTGTCCACATAGCAACCTCTGCGTAGAGTCCAGCGTGTGTCTTGGGACCTCAGCCTCCGAGGTCACGGTCAGGTAAGGTGTCCTATCAGCCGCAGCAGGATTTCTTCTTGGCAGAGCGGCTGACCTGAATGGTGTCTCCTCTGACTGTGTCTTCTTGCTCCTTAAGAATCCTGGGAGGGGGAAATACAGTGTCAGTACTAGAGAAGCTGCAAGGCCCAGGGGCTGGCAATATGGACCAGCCATTCTCAGGTTATAGGCCAAGCAGGTAATAAAGAGGGCCAGAGGAAGCAAGTAAAATGTGCCTTTGGAGGGTCTAAATTCTTAATTGTAGGAAAAAGGAAAGCCAGAGAGTTTAATCAACCTGGGCTGTTCAAGACATTTCCTCCAGAAAGTCTCCCCTAATCTGCTATATTGGCCCAAGTGTTCCTGATAGCTCTATGACAGCCCTTCACCCAGCACCATGGCGTCCTGCTTCCTTCGGTCCCTTCCTCACCCAAGAGAAAGAGCTGCTTGAAGGCTAACACTATATTCTTTGTGCTTCTACAACAGCTACGCATAATTATAGGTAGACCATATAGGCTCAAAAGATAGGATTGCTGATTGTTGACCCTACAGAAGGCCTGCCCTGTGTGGATACAGCTCCAGATCACATGCAGGAAGTGAAGGATTAAAAACAGTGATAAATATCTTCTTGTTGTTGTTGAGTGCCATCGACTCATAGCGACCCTATGAACGGAAGTCCTCGATACTTGTGTGCGTGACTTTCATCCTTTCTCCAGGTTCATAGGGTTTCCAGAGGCAAGCTATTTACTGAAGTGTGTGCCACTCCTGCTTCCAAGGTAAATATCTTATCCCTGCTTTATTCTATCGATGCACTTTCACCTTTTCAGCACCTTTTTTTCATGCACAAGATCATCCGCAAATGAGCAGGGAGTATGTAATTAGAGTCAATAAATCAAGAAATGTGTGTTGGGTAAATCTATGACAAAGAACCTCTTTAAAGGGCTAAAGAGCAAAGATGTCACTTTGAGGACTAAGGTGTGCCTGAGTTAAGTCATAGTATTTTCAACTGTTTCATATGCACGTAAAAGTTGGACAATAAATAAGGAAGGTTGAAGAGTTGATACATCTGAATTGTGGTGTTGGTGAAGAAGAATATCAATAAACTGCCAGAAGAATGAAGAAATTTGTTTTGGAAAAACTATAGCTAGAATGTTCCTTAGAAGCAAGGATGGTGAAATATTGATGCATATGCTTTGGACATATAAGCACAGAGACCAGTCTCCTTTCCATTGAAAAAGAGGAAGACCCTCAAGGAGATAGACTGACACAGTGGTTGCAGCAATGGCATCCAACAACAACTGATTGTAAGAATGGTGTTGGACCAGGCAATGCTTATTAATGTCATACATGGAGTTGCTATGAGCTGGAACCGATTCAACAACACCTACCACCACTATCAACAACACACAAACTACTAAGCTCAGAGAGTCAAAGAGCCCAGGGACTCAGTGTCAGGAAAGACTATCATTTCCCCCCATGGTACTCCATAATTCTAGAACTCCTCCAACGTATACAAAGACTCTCTCTAAATATTTAATTACTCAAATGAAAATGCTTTCTAAATGCCCCTTGATGAGCATTTGGCAATACTTAACCAATATTAAGTACAGTTTGAGTGAATGGATGCACGGATCCAGATAGGTGAATAGAACGGTGAAATGAATGTCTAGACAGATAAATGAATGAAGGCCCAAATATTGAAAAATGATGCCCAGTGTGATTCTGTTGTCTTTATTTTATTATGGTCAAGGGCTTAAGGAATTAATAGTTCCATGGGACCAGTCTTTTTCATAACACATGAAACGCAATACCTTGGATTTACCCCCACACACCCTCATCTCCCTGGCTTCTCCTCATTTCCCTAGGAACCCACATTCTGTTCCATTTTTGCTCCCATCTGGCTGCCAACTAATCCTTGTAAGAATATTTGGCTAGTAATGAGGGACCCTGTGATACCATTTTCCCAAGAGTAGCTGCATTTAAAAAAGGATGTTTTAGATAGAGGCCCTTAGCATTTAGAGGACCTTGCAACAGTGCTGGAGAGGAGTGTGAAGGGGTATTCTTTTTCCATCACCAGTACGTTTCAGAAGGCAGTGTCTAACCCCTCAAATTCCACACAAAGACCTGGCCCGTCATCTCTTCTACTCAGAAGGCTTGGATGGCGAAAAGGAAGGTTCCTGGGCAGAGGTATAGACTGCACCTCCCTCCGGGCCCGGCACAGCTGGATTCAGTGGAGTGGTTGTGATCTGTGAGCCTCTTACCTGGCTAAATGGAACAGGGACTCCTTGGCATTATGACCGGTATAGGCACTGCATTCATAGAAGATCAAACTGTTGTCCTAGATTCATAAAACACAAGGAATAAAAGAAGAGTAATGGGAAAGTGTGTGGAGAGTTGTAGAGAGTCTGGAGGAGGTCCCCCTCTACATCTACTCACAGCCCTCCCTGCTTTAAGAGTCCCCCCCCTTAATTCCTCAGCCACCTTCCCCAACTCTGCATGGTTGATTTCTATCTCCTCAGGCTCCCTGACTAATGCAAGTTCTGTAAGCCTCTCCCAGGTGAGCTCTAACAGTTGTAAAACAACAAAAGCATGAACTGCCTTCTTGCTTTACATTTTCAAATTGCTTTCAGGAAGGAGCATCCTTGACTCACTTTCATACTGGTCCTAGTATGCAGGCTAGGACACACAGCCAGGGCAGGCCATGTCCTTTCCATTTCACAGACAAGCGGCTGAGGTGAGAAGGGGCACAGGGCCCCTTCCTCAGTGGCAGGGCTCCCAAGTAACTTGTTTTCCCCAGGACGCTGATGTTCTGTTGACCTTTGGGCAGGAGTCTTTAGGATCACTAATGGGAATTCTCCTCTCATTGGTACATCAACAACTCAGCTTCCCAGGCTGCAGCACTTGTGACTGAGAGAAGGTGTCTAGTTCCTTCATTAGGCCAGGGTTATATACTCTTTGCATGGTCAAGGTGCATCATACTCCATTTATCACTCCTGTTAGTAGGCTTCCTGCTTCACTATGAGAACTTGAATGATGGAAAGTCCTTGCTTTTAGAGAGTCTTTTCTCAGAGGCTGATGCTCTAGGGGGAGGCGCGCTAGCCAAGTGAGGATGTTTCCTCTGTGGCAGCAGAACAGGATGCTCTGTAGAACCTGGCTCTGAATTCCAGACTTTTTGATTGATCCATACCCAGCAGACCCAGTGCCAGCTTCTGCCCTCTTCACTCAACCTCACCTAACACACTTTATCTCTCTCTCTGGCCACTTCTTTTAGAAATTGATCACGGGACAGTCTGTTAAGGAGCCGAAGGTGATAGGGTGCAGATAATAGAGTAAGACCTCAGGTTGTGACTCCACCACGGATGAGCTCTGATAATATGAATAAATCACTAACATCTCTGAACATCATGTGTCCAAACAAAAACCAGAACAATAGCAGTCTAGGCCTATAGTTTCTTGCCTCAAATCTCTGGAGACCGAGCTAAGGTATTTTATAATTTGATATGTTCTGGATTTTATAAAAGTAATAGTCATGTATTATATATTGTAACAAAATGCCTGGGTGGTACAAATGGTTAATGAACTCAGCTACTAGCGTAAATGGTTGCAAGTTTGCATCCACTTGGAGGTATGTTGGAAAGAAAGGTCTAAACACCTACTTCCTAACAAGCAGTTACTGAAAACCCTCTGGAGCACATGTCTTTTCTGACATGCATGGGGCTGCTATGAGTCAGAGTAGATTCAATGACGATGGGTTTTATACTGTATATTATATAACTCGCTCAGTGGATCTAGGGCAGCACTCTGTAACTCAACATATGAATATTCACACAAAGTGAGATAAATAACGGCCATAAATAGTCTCATTTCAGTTCTGATATGATTTTTCCCCTCCAATGAAATGCAAAAATGCCTTTCTGCTTTCAGAGCTTTTGGGATTTGGAAATTTTAGAGGAGAGGTCTGGGACATATAACGGCTTCCACATGACCCTCTACCCCAACACCCTCTAAGACCTACTTCCTTCTTTTTGCTTGACTTTACCCACTGTGTTTGTTTTCCAGGGTTCCTAGGTCGTGAGTCCCTGAGCGGAGCAAGCATACTAAGAATTACAGAACCACAGGACTGAAATGCGTCCCCATCTTCCTTGGTTCTATAAAAACCAAGCTCCCAGCCAATAAAAGGAACCACAGAATGAGAACTTCTTAATCATTTTCTAGCTTGATCTCCATTAAGCTCTACTGGTTCATTTTAGGGCAAGAGAACCGATGCTTATTTTGTTCCCTGAGCTAATCATGAGGTTATGGTTTTAGGCGGGTTAGTATGTGGTAGAGCTGAACAAGGAAGAACCGACTGCCTTGCAGATGGTGAGTTTTCATTTTTGCAGGAGTTTCATTAGAAACACAGATAATGGGTTTCAAGTATCTGATTGGGGAATGAATTAAGTAACCTCTTCTATCTCATAAGGGAGCTCTGGTGGTCTAGCAGCAAGGAGTTGCACTGTCACCTCAAAGGCTGTGGCCCAAATCCACCAGCTGCTCCATGGGAGAAAGATGGACATGAGCATTCTTGTGAGTATAGCCTTTGAAAACCCACTGGAAGGTCAGCTATGAGTGGATTCTGAGTTGGCAGCACATAAAAACAACTCATAATATACAATTCTGTGTAACAAATGGGAGACTTTGAACTAATTCTTTAAGCTCTACTGGACTCTCACCAGCTCCATCTTGCAATCTGTGGCTTTCTGTACGAAGTTCTAAATACACAAGAGCTGTGGATTCCATGATACAGTCCATCCTACTTGTCCAACTGCTTCCTTCTGGGGCTTCCAGAGACATCACACCCCACTCATAGAGATAGAAATGTTTGCCCTTTTACCTTGGCAAGCTGCTCTCCAAGACCCCGAGGGACTTCTCGTTCCTTCTCATTGTCGATTTTATTGCCCAGCAGAAGAACAGGGATGTGGTCTCCCACAGCTTCCTGCAGAAGAAATGATCCTCCGACTGAGAGATGTTCCATAAGGACTCATTTAGCAGGCTTAAAATGCTGACTGGAAAGATACAGTCTGGCTTCAGAACCCCCTGCTGCCACCACAAGACAGGCAAAGATAGAATCATCCAGAAAGCAGAGAGAAAAGAGTTACCTCCACCAAGAAAGTTTTACAGAATGTCTCAGGTATAGTTTCTGGGAACCTCTCAGCCCTATCCCTTAATGATCCCTCCCACCTTCATCATTCTCCCTGCAGGCTGCCCAGGATGGTCACAGGGACAGTTGATATTCCCTTAACTATCAGTCTTTGGAGCCCTTACCATTATTCCTGAGTCCAACTGGACCAAACTGAACCAAGATAATTCATTCATCATGATGCCTGAATGTTGCTTTGATTAGAAACAGTATCTCCAGGGGGTCTCAGTTTAGGCACTCAGCTCCCCAAGGGCTGGGCTCTTAGTGCTGGGCCACAGTGGGTGCTCAACAGATGACTATTGTGAGCCCAATTGGAGGTCACTACATGGGGTCCAACAACTCTCTGTCATAGAGTGCTGTGGTTCTGAAGAAAGGCTCCCATAAGCAACTGTACTTGTTGGCCATAAGTAATAGGTTTATTCAATGGATCAACCCTATTCACTCCTGCATCAGCTGCACCAGGTCAGCCAGGAGCCTGCCTCCCAGGATCTCTATTTCCTTCCTCATAAATTGGGTGTACAAATGTCTCTTGTAAGGGTGAAAAGAGGGCCTAGGACAAACAGTTATTAAGTGAGTAAACATGGTAATGTTCATGTTTAAGCAGATTGTTATTTTTACTTTGTGAATTATTTAGTTAGGTCTTTTAACCATAATTTGATAAAAAATAGTTATTCACTGTAGCTAAGTAGTTTACTAAACAGAGGGTTGTGGAATAAAAAAAGGTGACAAGCACTTGTATCAGTTATTCAGCTTCTTTATCTTACCATGCCAAGTGAATGGACAAAGTCCACCTGATATGGTGGTGGTTGTTGCTATATGCTGTCAAGCTGACTATTACAGTGACACTATAAACAACAGATCAGAAACTTGCCCTATTCTGTGTCATCTTCACTATCTCCCTTATGCTTGAGGCCATTGCCACAGTCACCATGTGACTATTTTGCTGAGGGTCTTCTTCTGATTCTTCACATTTCCCATGAAGAACTCTTTTTCCAAGGACTAGCTCTTCTTGACAATATGGTTAAAGTAAGTGAGATGAAGTTTCACCATTCTTACCTCTAAGGAGCACCCTGGTTTCAGTTCTTCCTATCATATTTGTTCCTTGGGAAGTTCCTAGGTGAGGTGTTAAAAACCTTAAAATTTGGCTTTTGTAGCCATTGTATTAGCTCTTGCTGGGGCATGGTCTCCAGCTATCTTAACTGTGGGCACATGGTCTTGGCAAATCATCAACAGCTGTGAGACCAATATAAAGAGAGAGATTTCCACTTTGTAAGGTACCCTAGCAACAATGAGGGTGGAGAGATGTTAAGAGACTGTGGCACTGCTGTGAAGAGACTGTGCCAAGTTATAACCAAAGGAAAAGCTGATTTATTACTACTCTGAGATAAAGGCCACAGTTAAAGATTTTGTTGGCTGACTGATTTGAGGAAATGTATGCTGAATAAATGAGGAAATCAGAGGCTTCTTGCATTGTGCTGATGAACTGAACCTGGATTTTCACTAATTGAGGAATTGTGCTGTGTTAACCTGGCTCGAGACTGCTGGACTCAACCTGGATTTGCATTGGGTGATATTCTTATACTCTCCAATCTACTTCCCTAATAGACCTCACAACTATGAGTAAAGTCTGAGAGTCAACAAACAACTAATAGACTCAATGATTCATACTCCTGGGCCTCCACAAGAAAAAGACTGATAATCCAATTAAAAAATGGACAAAAGGCATGGAAAGACTTTTCACAGAGGAAGATATTTGAATGGCAAATGACGCATGAAGAAATGCCCCAAATAAGAGAGACGCATGAAGAAATGCCCCAAATAAGAGAGATGCAAATCAAAACCACAATGAGTAACAGTGGCGAAGTTTAACAGGGCAGCAAGTAATAGATGTTGGAGAGGATGTGGCAAGAAAGAAACACTTGTGCATTATTGGTGGGATTGTAAAGTGGTGCAACCATTCTGGAAGGCAAAAAAGCTGAACATAAAAATTTTAATGACCCAGCTATTCCACTACTTGGAATATGCACTGAGAATATGAGAACTGAGGCACAAACTGAGATTTGTGCACCAATGTTCATAGCAGCATTATTCAACATTGTAAGAACATGGAAACAGCCCAAATGTCCAACCACAAACGAATGGATTGAGAAATTATGGTACTTTCACACAACGGAATACTATGAAGCATGCAGGAGCAACAACTTTGTAAATTATTATCTAACTTGGGACAGACTGGAGAGCATTATGTTGAGTGAACTCAGTCCCACAAGGATAAATATTGCATTAGACCATTACTGTAGAATGAGTATAAGGATCCAGGAGGAGTAAGAGAGGCCGGAAGCAGAGGGATGTGGATATACAGGGGGAGGGAGGATTAATCATTAGGTTGTACAATTTGATGGGGGGGGGTGAGGGAAATTGAAAGAATTTGCTTGAATTTGTATTAGAATTTTGTAAATAAACTAGTGAAAAGAATAAAATAAATAAATGAATAAATAAATAGTAAGAAAAAGAGAGAAAGAAATAGGTGCAGGAACATGTGAAGTGGCATGTCCAATCAAACAACTATTTGTTGGAGACTATAGATATTATTGATGAGGATAGTTTTCCTTTATGAGGTGAATAGAAGTCAGACCAAGCCACCCCCACATTACCACTGTTCCTTGTGCAATAGGATATTCAGTATTCTTCACCAATAGCACTAACTACATTAAGTTTAAAAACCACTATACTTGAAATTAACCTCAGACACCTCTTAATCTGCAAATTCAATAACAAAATCATTGGATTATAAGCATCTTTGAATTCTGGTATCATAGGTAATAGGGAGTTTCCCTGCTAACCCAAAGGTGGGTTACTCTGGTTGTTTGAATCCACCAGCAGCCTCAAAGAAGAAAAACGGGCAATCTCCTCTTGTGTGATGGACAAACTCTGAAAATCCACTGGAGGGTGAGCTATGAGTCAGCACTGAGACAATGGCAATGAGCTTTAGTATATGAAGGTAACCTGGAGACATTATGTGTGACATATTGGGCTGTTAACCAAAAACTCAGTAGTTCAAATCCACCCGCTGAGATATGGGAGGAAGAGAGGCAGTCTCTTTTCATGAAAAGTACAGCCTTGGAAACTTGACAAAGGAGTGTTATGAGTCAGAAGTGATTCAGTGACAGTGGGGTAACTTTTGAGTTTTTCAGTGTTATGAGGCCACACTTCTCTAATCTTTTCTAGATTCTTATATCAAATAAACTTTCAGCCATCTAGTATAACATTAACTATGTTGTTGTTGTTGATTGCGGTCAAGTAGAAGTCAACTCATAGCGACTCTATGAACAAAAGAGCCAATGCTTTTCCATAGCTATTGTTGTTTCTCCAAGTTCATAGAGTTTCCAGAGACATGTGGTTTAGGAAGCGGATGCCACTCCTGCTTCCCAATTTGTTTTACAACTGGGAGCTCCACCAAACTCTGTCCACAATGGGGAACCATTATGGTGCTTGATAACCCCAATGCACAAGGTTCAGCATCACAGCAAACCCAGCTTACTTCATACAGCACATTGACAAAGAGTGATGTGTAAAGTGGAAGAACATTCCTCCAGATATAACAGCACTAGTTTCATTTAGTGATTAAGTGTTGTCGAGTTGAATATGACTCAGAGTAAGCGTTGCACAAAAGACCTGAACTCTATTCTAGAATTAACATAATTTCTGTACATTTATAGAGTTTAGAGAGTTCATAGAGTTTCCAGAGGCATCTAGTTTAGGAAGTGGATGCCACTCCTGCTTCCCAACATGAATCAATCTGGAAGCTCATCCAACCATTGGACATAATGGGTAACCATTATCATATTTGACATGACTATGGAACAGTGTAACTGCCTAAAAACATTAGTTCCCCTTCTCTATGCTATGATTCTTATTAACATTTGTCATGTTGAGGTGACCTGATGCCACAGTGGTTAAGTGCTCAGTTACCAACACAAAGGTTGTATCAAGCCCACCAATCACTCTCTTTGGGGTGAAGATGGAGCAGTTTCCTTCTGTAAAGATTGCAGCTTTGCAAACCCTATGGGTCAGTTTTACTCTGTCCTAGCGGGCTACCATGAATTTAGATGGACGTGACAGCAATGGATTTTAACAATGATGTAAAGGCACTGCAAGATCTAATAGTGTCTTCTGACTCATCAGAAATAAATTATGTGCACTGTTAAGTGGGTCACGCCACATTCCAATTATTTGAGAAACCTACTTATGGCATATACAGAATGCTGTTGCTCCCCAGTGACCAGAGGTTTAGTTCCTGGGAATACCTTCCTCCTCTGTCTGTCAATGCTGTGAAACAGAAAAAGAAGAGGAGGAAGCAGAAAAATGGGCCAAAAGGCTTGCTTTTTGGAACACACGACAGAGAGATATTTGTAGATCTATGTGTGAGGAGTGACTAAGACTTGTGGGATTTCTTGACATGGAAATGCTCTGAAAATATGAGCATCAGACTTGAAATCCCAGGACAGAATTCTAACCTGGATTTTGTTATTATTTGGCCCAGGTGACGGACTTTAGTTCTTTACTTGCGAAGGGGATGATGGATCCTGAATGACTGAATAAGATGAGGTACAGTTTGATTTACAAGCCTCGCATTAAAACCTGTCTATCATACACAGCACTACTGCCTCGCAGGAAAAAAAAAAAGGAGATTGTCCTCTTTCTTTTTAAAAGCGGTTCTGGGATACAACAATGAAAGAACCTAGAAAAGCAGGGGGAAGGCAAAGCAACTAGTTGTAGCTGTGGTTTCTTGTCTT